TCAAAAGTCAATTAAAAATTTGTAAAATTATGTCAGATTTGACCCAAGGTAGATTTGAAACCAAAGCTCAAAAACAAATTTTTGGTCGCATCGGGAAATTTTTTGTTTTAATAAATAAAATAATTAATTTAGTTAAAGACTAATAATTAGTATATAAAAAGGAGGGATTCGGAAGGATTAATAAAAATAATAATATGTATAATATGTTGCAATCAAAAACTATCATATATTTTATTTTTAGAATAAAATTAAAGTTAAAAGGAAATTAATTATTTTAATTAATTTATTGAGACAATATGTACATATTACACAATCTTTTGTGTGAAAATAAAGATAATGAAAAATACAAAAATGGAAGTTTACGGACATATTTTTAGATTATTTTGGTTAAATTTTTAACGTTTTCTGATTTTTTTTTAATTTCTTGAACAATAAATATTAAATAAATTTTATTAAAATACTTTGAACAAAATAAATTTACCAAAATAAAAACTATTTTTAACTCAAAAATAACGTCATCTGTTCAAGGAATTGTAATGGAGTTTCACTATTTTATGGTATTTTAACGAGAAAATAAATAAATATATATAAAAATCCACAAATAAAGCTTTATTTATTATATAAAAGTGGTCACAGCAGGAATAGAAAAGAAGAAAAAAAAATATTTTAAAAGATAAGTTTAAACTCTAAAAAGAGCTGTCACAACCAGGCAAGTTAATTGCTACTTTTTGTGATTTGTAAAGAACCAGCTGCTAACAGAAGGTGTTAAAAAAGTTTTTTTAAATGGCAAATAAATAAATAGATTTTTTTATTAAAATAAAAAAAAAGAGATTTTTAATTTTGCGAAAAATTAATTACAAAAATAAATAAATATATTAGTTATTTAATTCTTATTTTGTTAAAATAAATGTTCTGTCCCCCATCTACGAACTCTGGAAGTTGTATAATTTTACTTAAAATAGATTGAGAAAATAGATTAATTGTTGAGAACAGCCGTCATTTAGAACACAAAACACATGATAGAAAATCAATTATAACTAATTAATGCCAAGAAATTTAGAATTTTAAAAGAATAATTAATAAATAAGGAATAATAAATTAATTTTATATTTTGTTTAAGGAAAAATTTTTGAAGAAAAAGCATACGTTGTTTTTATAAAGTTGTTGCCCTGAGTACTTGGTATGCTAGATCCGGAGCTAAAGCTCTGGTGGAGCTTTGTATTTGAACATAAATCCCATCTTTCTGAAAATTTATCATTGGCGGCGCTGATACTTGAAAAACTGTTGGTCAAAAATACTGCATCTTTAGGCTACGTTTATTCTAGTTTGAGCGCCGGCACTAATTACTAATTTTTTTAGAAAGATGAATTCTCTTTTCTATCTTATATAAACTTTAAACAAAAAATTCTAAAAAAATTAATGACAAAGCACTTCTAGTTTTTTATCCCTTTTTGTTCTTGTTTATCCTAATGAATGAAATTTTGTTGAGTGCCATTCTTTTCCAACCTAATTTTTTCTAAATTTAGTAAAAAAAAAGAAAATGGGGCCAAAGGACTGTTATTTTCCTTTTCTCTAATTTTTTTTTCACAAATAAACGTAGAGGAAAGGGGCATTGTGGCGGAAATAAAATTAATTGCATTGAAAAAAAAGAATTTTTTGTTTAATTTAAAAAGAAAAAAAAAGTTTATTATAAAAAAAAGATGTTTGAAAGTGTGTGTGTGTGTGTGTGTGGCAGGTTATTAACAGAGAAAATGTCCAAACAAAAAAAAAACTAAAATTAATTTATGTAGATGTTCAAAAAATATTTTTAAATTAAATTTTTTTCTTTTCGGCTTAAATGTAATTTAATGAATTAAATAAAATAAATAAAATCATTACTGTTTATATTTAATTATTTTAATTAATTAATTTAACAAAAAACTAGATAAGAATATTTAACTGTGTTTCTTTAAAATACCTAAATATTTATTACCTCAAATTAAACATTTTATTTATCTGCAAATATTAACTGAATGTGAATAAAAAACAGGGAAAAGCGTGGGGTTTTGTTGTTTAAGATTTTTGGGAAATTTTGCAAAAAAAGCGGAACACAAATAATTAAATTTAATTTCCCATAATTATTTTTTTCAATGAAATTTTAATTTTAACTAAAAAAATTTAGCTTTTAAAAATCTAATTTTGTAAACTAAAGAATGTTTGGATTATTTCCTTTTTTGGTTAAAAATATTTGGAAAAGAAGTTTTTGGTTTTCTCAAAAGCGGAAAGGAAAAAAATAATCAAAATTATTTAAAAAATACTTTCTTTTTCTCTTTAAGAAACTCAAAAAATTTAGAAGATATTTAGCATAAGCAATACTTAAATATTTACAAAAAAAATTTTTATAAATAGAAAAAAGAATATAATAAATTAATTTCTTTCTTTTTTTTTATCCATAAGCAATGCCTTTTTAATTAATTTTTTAGATAAGGAATTAATATATTTTATGGAAAGACATAAAAAAGGAATTAGAGGAATTGATACATATATTTAATTTTAAATAAAAATATTTGTAGAAAATTAATTAAATATATTGTTAAGACAATTCTAAATTTGTTTTAAATATTGGAGAAAATTTTCTGATTTTTAAGAAAGAGATCAGTTTATTAAAGTAAAATATACATAAAATATAAACTTTCACAATAGTTAAAAAAATTAATAATTAAATTTATTTAATATATTAAAAATTTGGGTAATTCTTAATGATAAAAATAATTTTTAGAAATTTTAAGCAATTTTTATGTGTTAAAAGATTTTATTTAATAGCTTTTTCAATATATAAATAATATTTATTTATTCATTATTTTATTTTCTCTCCCTGTCTCCTCTTTCTCTTTATTTTTCAAAGAATTATTAATCAAAAAGAAATGCCAAAGATGGCCAAAAAGCGCAGCTGGAATTTTTAAAGTAAAACTTTTTTATTGTATTTATTATTAAAAAACGGAAGGAAAGGAAGATGAAGGAGAAGGGAAAAAAGGAAAAGAAAAAATAAAAGATTTCCGGTGCCTTTTTTAACAAACCACTTGGATGAAAGAAAATATTGAAGAAATATATAAAATATTTTTAAATATTTATATTTTAAATAGTCACGGGAATGTTTGATAGTTTTTATATATGAGAATAAAAAGCTTTTAAAAAATATTTTTTTGATTAATAATTTAAAATAAAATCAATGAATAAATAAATATTTTTAATAAATTAAAAGAAAAAAAAGAAAAAGAAATAAAATTAATTGAGTCAATTAAAGAAAAAAAAATATATAATTATAGGAAAAGCTTTTTTATAAAATAAATTTTAAAAATTTTTTTAAAAAAATTGGTAGAAGAATCAAAATAAATAAATAAATAATTAACTAATTAAGGAGGAATTTGCTTTGAATTTTGAGCTGATCAGAAAACTTTATATTCATCAAATCCTCAACTTCAGCTGATTTGGCTTTCATTTAAATTCAAATTTTATCCATTAAAAGTTGTTATTTTTCTTTAAATAAATTTAATTAAATAAATTAATAAATTTAAGGCTTATGAAGTTTCCTCCCAACATACAAACTTGGGAGATTATTTTAGGAAAAAGTTCTCTCCAATTTTTTATTTTCTTGAAGAATATACTTGTGTTTTTATAGCTCTAAAGAATTATCCTACTCCCTGTAATTATTTAATTGTTTTATGTTTGATCCGTTTTGTAAATTATTTATAAATTTAATAATAATTTTATTGTATTTTTATTTTTAAAATTTTCTAAAATAATATTTTTAATAAAATTTAATTTCAATTATTTCATTAACATTCAACAAACATTCGAGTAAACAAACAAATAATTAAATTATTTAACTATTTAAATATTGCCCTCAAAATCGATTACCTGTCGCGCTCATTCATGACTGTCATTTATTTCATCAAATACTATTTACCCCAATTTCCAGCCGCTCACCTCTAAATTTTCACTTCTTCCAAATTCTTTTTCTATTATTCCTTCATCCTCATTCTTTGCTCAATCAATCAAAAGCAATTTCATAACAACTTTTATGGAATAAATTTTTAAAAAAATATTTATACATTAATGCTTTTCTCTAAATTTTTATTATCTTATCGTTCGCTTTACACACAAAAATTAACTTATCTTTAAAAAATTCTAACACAAAATTCTATCTTTATTACAATACATATAACATTAACTAAGTATAACAACTACATTTTAGTTAAATTTAATTTAATAAAAAGATGGAAAACCATAAAAATAAGAATACCGATCCCTTAGCCCCTTCTGACTCCTCATCTTCATCATCATTAAATGCCGATAATTCACCCTCAAATTCTACACAAAATCCATCTTCTACAAAACAACAACCACCTAGACCTCCACAATTACCTCTAAAAATTCCCCCTCCCCCATCTGAACATCCCCCACCCTACACGTAATTTAATTAATTTAATTAAAAAGACTTTTTATTTTCTTTTAGACCTTTTGGTGGACAAACACAAAATTCTACTCTTTTGGCTAATGCATCCTCCACCCAAGGAAATGCCAACGCAAATCGTCGAATTGTTAGGCCTCCAGGCATTTTTTTAATTTTTAAATAAATAATTTAATTTAAATAAAGGTTTTCGTAATTATTTAACAACCAAAAATTTGTTAATTCTTTTTGGAATTATTTTGGCGATTATTTTATTTAAAATTTTTGTTTATGTTATTTACAAATCTAATGAATCAGATGACGATTTAAATACACACAAAGCTTTAGAAGACGATCATAAACCTTTAGTATTTTCTCATATTGGATTGGGGGCTGTTAAAGGAAATAGGTAAAGGAATAATTAAAAATAATCAAAAATGTTAGTAGTTTCTAACATTAAACACCCTAAAAATCTTTAATTTATTTTGAATTATCATTTTAAATTTTTTCTGAAATTCCCATATTTATCAGAGAAAATCATAATTCCAATACATGAATATTTTAAATTAACTTTTTTAAGAGATTGGATAAGTTTTGATGAACAAAACAACGATGTAATTATTTCTGTTTTCGATTCTGATGACCAAATGTTAGAATCTGAAACAATTAATGTTGATGAATATTTAGAAGGATTTAAGTAAATAATTTTTTTATAAATTTTTTTTAAATTCTTTTTTTAATAGATTTAATAAATTTCATGTTTCGAGTGTAGAAGAACATATTGGAGATATTGCCCCAACAAAGTTTAGAAATTGTATTCGTTTTACTCCTCATTTAGTTTGTTGTTCCTCACAGGGGAATGGACATATGCATTTAACTAAATGTTTTTTGGAGACTAAAGGTTAGGTATTAATTAAAAAGTTTTTTTATTTAAATTTCCTTTTGTTTTTGAGGGAATGAGGGGAGGGGAAGGGGAGGGTGGGAGGAATGATTCTAATCTTAATTTAATTTTCAGATAATATTCAAATATCGGCGGCTTCTTTTTATGATTTTGTCCCTCGTTGGCAAACTTTAGTTGATGGAGAAGCTCTTTTACTTTTACATAATACAAAAAAGCACGCAATTCTTGACTTAAAAAGAAATATGTAAATTATTTAAAAATAAATTTTAATTTTTAATTTATTTAGTTTACACGATATTAAAGAAGAACATCTTCCAAATAATTTTATTTCACATGGATTCTTCTTTCCTAAAGCTACAGCAAATGAATTAATTAAACTTGGTTAGTAAATTTAGTGTGAAATAAGTATACATATTCTTTCTTTGATTGACTGGAATTATTTAAAAATAAAAACTTTTTGTTAAACAATCCAAAAAAGTTTAGAAAAATCTATTGACTCAGAGGATTACTTAAACTATCAATTTATTATTTTAATTTCTAAATTTATATAATGTTTTCAGTTAGAGTAGGCGAACATTTTCGATTATGTGAATTTGTTCAAACTCGGGATGAATTAAATACTACACAAGGTTTTTACTCTCCAAAAGAAGGAAAATGTCAAAATACGCCGTAAAATAAATTAAAAAATATTAAAAAATTCTATTTTTTTATTAAAGATTTAAAATAGATCCAGAACTTTCTCAAATACTTTTTTGTGTTAATTCTTTATATTCTGCAATTGTACAATATGATCATGATCAATTGCCAGATGATGCATCAAATCTTACTTGGAGAGTTTGGGTATATTTAATAATTACTTTTTTTAATTGTAAAAAATATTAAATTTGTTTGAGGTAAAAAGGGAAAAAAGGAAATTAAAACTGAATTTTGAGGTAGCGGAGGATAAAGACTATAAGGACACAAAAATAGAGGAATGGTAAAAGAGTGTATGGGCTTTTTTGGGATATCAGTCTTCTTGTCCACTTTATCCCTTAATGTCATTCGCCCCTTTCACTCTTTCCTTTCTACTGACAACCATTTATTTGATAACTTGAGGTTAGGGTTCCCCGGGGAAGGGATTCTCCGGGACGGGGTAGGTCTCCCACCACAGCCCCCGTTCCCCATACCCCCGCAGTTCCCATCCCCTTTTGCGAAACATGTAAATTGCAAACTGTATTAAAAATTAATTTTTAATATTAAATTTAAAAATAAAAAAATATCTAAAATTATGTTTAGCTTCAATTTGACGGTTCTGATATTGTTTACAGTGCCGGCGCGTCTGCGCCTTCTCGCCAAAGACAAATTGCTTTAAATTGTGCTGACGATCGCTTAGAATTATTTGTTTTGGGGGATAATGAATTACACAAATTTATAACTAAATTAAATGGATTAAAATAAACGAAAAAGAATTTTACAAATTCTAACGATATTTATTATTACATTTTTAAATTTGATATTTAATTATTAAAATTTAATCAAACTATTTTTAAATACAGTGGAATCTCGCTAATGTATGTCGCCTTCGTTATCGTGGCCTTCGTTATGAAGAAACGTTTGATTTGGGAAACATTTTAACGAGATACCACTGTATTTTTTTATTAAATAAAACGAAGATATTCTTCAACAAATAACACTTTTTTATTTACTTTTTTCCTTCATAGATATACATTATTTTGATATTAGTTTCCGAAATTTTTTTCATATTAAAATATATTTTGTATACTTTTTTACTTTAAAATATGTACATACTACAAAATTCTTGAAACAAAATTTGTATTTGTGATTTATTTTTAATTTCTTTTTTAAATAATAGTTTTATTTTTAATTAAAATAAATAGAATTCGTTTGTTTTAATTCTCATCTTTTAAATTTTAATGATTTAATCAAAATTAATTTTGGCATTTTCAATGCCATTTAATTAAATAAAAAATAAATTTTTTAAACAAAAGTATAAACACACAGCCTCTCTCTCTTTTTTTCTCCCTCCCGCAGTTTTTGTTAAAAATTTGTGTTCTTTTTTTAATTTAAAATGTTGTAAAAACCGGTATATATATAAATATAGTTTGAAGTTTAGAATAAGAAATATTTTAGAGAAAAAGAGAATTTAAAAGTTTTACATTTTAAAGGAAATGATGAGTAAAATAATTGTTAAAACCACACAACATTTTTGCGCATCTCGTAATACTCTCTCTTTTTATTTATTTTTTGTTTATATTTATTTTTTGGAGGTATTGAAAATAAATAATTTGTATTTATTTTCTTTTTAATTTTAAATTGCCTTAATTTATTAAAAAATATTTTTTTTAATTTTAGAATACAAATCTTCTCTTTGATTTTATTTTATTACCGCCTTTTACGTCACGTTTTAACAAAACTTTGAAATGCAAATTTTTAATTATTCAAACAAATTTTGTTTAAATTTAAAAATAAAAATTAAATTTTTCTAAGCTTTTCTATAATGAAAAATTATTTTTTAAAATTAAACATCTTTCACAAAATTTGACAAAAACAAAAGAGAGCTTCTAAATAATTTTTCATTAACTCTGATTTTTATTTAAAATTAAAATATTTTTATAAAATAATTAATTATTTAAATTTTAAGATTGTTATTTGTTTAAAATGAATCAAACAGAAAATTCTGCAAATAATTTTTCATCATTTGAAACATCAAATTTTGGTAAAAAATTCTTAAAAATATTAAGGAAAATAATTTTAAAATATTTTTAAAAATATTTTAATTAAATTTCAGAACCAACTACTTCATCTAATAATAAAAATAACAAAAATAATAAATCAAAATTTTCTCTACTTAAATTTGTTCACCTTGCCTATAATTATTGGGCAATATTTATTGTTCGTAATTCTAAAGCAATAATTGCAATATGTACATTAATTACTCTTTTATGTACTTTAAAAGTTGTTATGACACAGTTAATAGTTTTAAATATTATTTAAATATTTATTTATTTTTTTAGATATAAAAATGATATAACGGGATATACACCTTATGGAGCTCGTTCTAGACAAGAATTAGTAAGTAAAAAATATCAGTTTTCTTTATAAAATCAGAGAGATTTTTTTGCTTTATATTATAAAAATATATTAGTTAAAATATTTATTTTTTAAATATTTATTTTCCATTCCTTTGTAGGCTATTCGAGAACATTTTTTCAATGAAAAAGATGGAGGATCCCCTTTTGGAATATTTTTGTTACTCTTACCTAAAAAACAAAATAATAATGATAATTTTTTAAACGAAAAAATGTTGAATGAAGCTGTTAAAGTTGATGAAATTGTCAATCAAAATTTTCCTTTATTTAATTTAAACAAAAACCGTTCCGAAACTTTTTCTCAATTTTGCCGTGATTTTTGTGAATTAAATGAACCTTTGAGAAGATTTCAAGTAAATTAAATATATTTTTTAAATAATATTATTTAAATTTAAGGAAGGTTTTCAACACCAAATACAACGTTTAGAATTTAATGAAACATTAAATCCTAATATTAAACTTAATTACCCGTTGAGTAGTATTTTTGGAAGAACATTTAACATTCAGGTAAATTAATTTGTTAGAAAATAATTATTTAAATTGTAAAGCTATTTCCGGTTAGGTATATGTAGATCCCTTATATTAAAATTAGAGGAGGAGACAATTGAGTTTTTAATTTCCTTATACTTTAAAATTTAATAAAATAAACTTTTTTTAAAAAATATTTTCTCTTTTAATTATTTAAATTAAATGTTTTGTCAGTTTTAAGCCAAATTTCTTCGGTATTCATTTATTAAATACAAACAATAGTAACAACAACAACAATATTGAATTATCTAATATGGCCAAAGTTGAAATGGTTGCATTAATATATAAAGCAGAAAGAGTTGGAGGATGGTCTGATGATGAAGTTAAAAATTGGCAACTGGCTGTATCTAAATATTTTGATAAGTTTGTTTTTTCTGAAAATTTTTTAAAGATTTAATTTTTAGTGGAAAATTTAATAGTTCTTTAATTCGTGTTTTGAGTGTTTCTACAGCTTATGTTGAAGTGGAAGTTGTTCGTGCTGGATTAACTATGCTTCCTTTTATTATTGTTTGTTTTTTAAATTGAAAGAATTAATAAAATTATGGAAAAAGAATTATTTATTCAATACAGTTCTCAAATAATTCTCATTAATTAAAAAATTAGTATTACCAAAATAATTCAATTTTTAGAATTTTTTTATTAATTTAAAATAATTATTTCAGGTTGGTTTTGTAATTATGCTTTGTTGTTCTTCAGTTTTTGTTCTTTTATCTGCCTCATATATGAATCAGTTTAATTATAAAAGACTTTGGTTAGCATTAATGGCCTGTTTGTGCCCTTTAATGGCCAGCGGAACTGCTTTAGGTCTTTTATTTCTGTTTGGTGTTCGTTTTGGCACAGTTCTTTGTGTTACTCCTTTTCTTGTTCTTGCAATTGGTGTTGATGATGCTTATTTAATGATACATGCTTGGCAAAGAATTAAATCAAAAGAAAAGGAAATAAATCGAGGAATTATTGAAACAATTAAGGAAAGGGTTACTAAAAGAATGGCTTTGGTTAGTTATTGAGGAGAGAGGGTTTCTAGGTACAATTAGTCCTCCAAAATATGTGTATTTGTTCTTTTATCTGCTGGGATTTATATGGATTTATAGGCAAAAATCTTATCCAGTTTTAAAAAATATTTGTTAATCGGATTATGTTTTTAACTACCCAACTATTTCCTGATTTTGGATCAATTAGCTAGGCACATCCATAGTATTCTTATATTTCTTAATTTTGAAGGTATTAGTCGATACTGGGCCTGCAATTTTAATTTCTGCTTTAACAAATATTTGTGCAGATGCAATAGGATCATTTACTGGATCCCCAGAAATTACACTTTTATGTATGGGAAGTATGGCTGCAATTACTGTTGATTTTATATATCAAGTTACTTTTTATGCGGTAAAAAATTTTTTTTAATTAATTAAAATTAAACAAAATTCTTTTTTAACTCAAAAAATTCATTAAAAACACAAATATACAAGGAGATCTATTAGAATAATTTTGTTTATTTATATTTTTATTTTAGGCAGTTATAGCATTATTAGACGAATCAGAATTAAAATCAGAACAATTAAATGGGAATAATAGAAAATTATGTTTGAGTATATTAATTGGTTCTAAAGGAATTTATAAAAATAAAACAATTAATCAAAGACCTAAAAATAAGGTAAAAATAAATAAATGACTCTTGTTTAGGTAGAAACTGATTTTTTTATTTATATTTTTTAATTTCGTGTATATGCCATGAAATTTCTAATGTAGCCTATTTCAATTTTGGATAGTTATTGTGGGCTTAATAAAATTTAAAAAAATAAGATCACGTGGTGACTATAAATTGGTATTAGTCTCAAATTTCAAATATTTTTATACCATCGTGTAGACTGGAGCCTAAACTTATTTTTATAGTTTCTTTGTAAATTTTTTTTAATTAAATTAATTTAGATATCCAATAATTTATATTTAAATCTAAAAAATCAATTAAATAAAACAACAAAAAAATATGTTGGATTTATTATGAACCCTTTAATTTCTTTTATTATTTGCTTGTTTTGGATTATTTTTGTTATATTTTCTGTTATTGTTTGTTTTTTAATAAGAATTAAATTTAAAAATTATTTTAAGGGTGTTTCTCACTTTAAAGTAAATTTAACCACGAAAAAACTTTTTGCAAGTGATTCTTTACTTTTAGAGGTAATAAATATTTAAATTATGAATACAATATATGTATGGCAATTAAATAAGAACTATTATTAAGTCTAATTTAATTTAAGAATTGGTTTAAATAAGTTTTCAAAAAAGTTTGGGCACTTATAGAAAACTGATAATGAAAATGGCGATTTTTAACTGGAAGGAAATTTTTCGAAGAGACGGGGGAGAGGAATTAACCGTATAACAAAAAATAATTAAAAAATAATTGCTTTAAGTAAGTAAAACCCGGCTCTATTAGAAGCCCATATCTATTTTAAATCCACCCATAGTGACTCATTAAACGCCCAGGGATTTAATTAGAGTATTAAGCTATTTCAAATTATATCAAAATGTCTTTAGTATTTTATATAAAAGTTACAAAACTTTCCATAATTGCACAGATTGACCATTACCGTGAACAACAAATCGTTCCATTCTTTACTATGGCGACAATATTCGTTAATAATCCTGGTAATTTATCTAATCCTTCACAAATTCAACGTTTAAATAAACTTGTTAATGAAATGGAAAGTTTACCAGAAAGTTGGGGGTCTTCAAGTACAAACTATTTTATTAGAGATTTATCTGATTTTTTGGGAGAGGAATCTTTAAATGATTTAAATAATGGATTGATTAATGAATTTTTGAAATGGCCAGAAAATAAACATTGGAAGGCTTTTGTTAGAACAGACGGAGAAAATGGAACTTTAAAACGTTTTTTCTTTACAACTGCTTATCATGGAGAAAGTCTTAAAGAATGGGCAGAGTAAATTAATATCTTTTAATTAGAATATGAAATAAGTACATATTACTTAGTTATTTTCCAAAAAATGTTTAAGAAAGTATAAAAATTTTGTAGGCGAAAATTGGACACATGTTCATCTTAACTACCGTCTGTAATTCTCCAGTAAGATCCAACACGACATTACTTCCCTATAATTTAATAAAAACCAGGCGAACCGCCATTTCCCGCATATCAGCTTTAAGGGTCTATAAAGTTAGATTAGCCTTTTTAAATTTAAAGACGTGCCAATCTTCAAAATAAATGGCGTGATATTATCGATAAATACAGTGATTTAAATGCTACTGTTTTCAACGATGAGGGGTTATTCCTCGATTTAATTAATAATATGCCAACAGATGCATGGCAATCAGCACTAGCAACATTAATTTGTATGACAACAATTTGTGCATTATTTATGGGAGGAGAATGGAGAACAGTTATTTTAGCTGGTATAACTATTGGCTCTATAATTTTGGGTACATTGGGTATTCTAGCTTGGATGGATATTACTATGGATCCAATTATGATGGTAAATTGAATATAAATTAATTTAACATAAAAATTATTTTTTTCAGGCTGCTTTAGTAATTTCAATTGGATTTAGTATAGACATCCCTGCCCATGTTACATATCACTTCTACAGTTCTGGTAAATTTATTGACTATCTGTAATCTCCATAAGTCATTATTGTAATTGTAAAAACCGAATATTTTAGCCGATTTATGCATTTAAAAATTGGGAAACATTAATTAATGAGAAATGGTGCACGGACTTTTGTTCCTCTCAGTTGTAGATTAGACATACTTATTATTCTCTCATTTATTGTTTAAAGTTAAAATTTTAAAGGTTTTGATTTACCAAAACCGATCAACAAAAATGACCGACATTCATTCCTCAATCAACGTCTAACAACTACTTTACTTGCTGTTGGAATACCAGCATTACAAGCAGCAATATCAACATCATTTTGCGTTCTTGCACTACTATTAGTTCCTCTTTATATGGCACAAATATTTGTTAAAATAATGTTTTCTTGTATTATTCTTTGTGTTATTCACTCTTTAATATTAATTCCTGCGTTAATTGTATTGTCTGATGGAATTTTGTGGAATTTATTTTTACTTTGCCATAATACAGAATCTGTGCCAAATTCTATAGAAAGTTAACAAAATGAGTGATCTTCTTTGTTATTTTTTATTAGTACACAAAAAGTTTTTGTATTTATTAAATAAATTTATTATTATTAAATAAATCTGTTTAACTCATTTAGGTTCACAATCGGATGGGAGGATCAAAAGTTATAAAATTTAACTAATTCCCCTTCACAAATGAGAGAATTGACCATTTTCCCTCCCTCTGACCATTTTATAACTTGTCTCCTTCTGACCCTTTCTCATGTTTACAATAAAGTCAGACGCACGAGAGATGCAATAAAATGAAGAGAGTACATAGATATTTAATTTGAAATTTGGCGTTATGTTTAAGGAAAAGAGTTAGCTAGTTTTCGAGCGTGCGTCAACAGGGTGGACCCGTGTGGTTTAATTATCTCTAAAAGTTTAAAAACTTTCTTTTCATTTTGTACATTTAAATATTTAATTTTAGTATTTTTTATTCATTTTGACCTCCCTCTCAGTTTACAATGTTCATCACAGAACAACTCAATAATGATGTTTGGGAGCTTCTGGAACCAAAAAACATTCATTCCCAAATCTCATCAGACTTTTATAAATTACTAGCTGATGAAAAATGGCAGGAACGAATGAAAGGATTGGAACTTTTGTTTAAGCTTTTAAGTGATTGTAAAAGAATTGCAGATGATCCTGCGCATAAACAATTAATTACTAGTCTTAGCAAGGTATGCACAGTCGGTTTTTGATTTATAATTAATTACGTTAATCCTATTGCTAGTCAAGATTGCGATTTATATTTTCTCATTTTTAAGGTTCTTGCTTCGGATTCAAATATTAATTGTGCTTCTATGTCCGCCAAATGTTTATGTTTAATTGCTCAAGGACTTCGCTTTGGGTTCTCTCCTTACTCGGCCGGATTAGCCCCAATTTGTTTTGACAAATTTAAAGAAAAAAGGGCATCTTTGAAAGAGCCTCTTTCTATTTTAGTCGATGCTCTTTTTCTTGCTTCTAATAAGAACTTATCAGTTCTGACTCAAACAATTATCGAATTTGCAACAAAGCCAAACCCTAGCCAAAAATCTCAATTAGACTTGTCTCTCTACAGACTTTTTCGTTCTTTGCCGGCGAAGTATTTACCTAAAGGATTTGTTAAAGAATTGGTGCCTATTCTTTGCGAGGTTTTTTCAGAGGAAAATTTATTTAAAATTTGATTTTTTAGCATTGTTCGGGATCCGACCCACAAGTTAGAGATTCTTCTTGTGCTGCATTGGGAGCTTTGCAAAAATGTGCCGGAGAACAAGTTGTTTCAACTTTTTTGACTCAAAATGTTGCTACCGATGAAAGGAAAATGATTAAAGTTTCATATTTTTAAAGTATATTATGAATTGTTTTTATTTAGATCAGAGAATCCAAGGTTAAAGCTGAAGAGGAGGATGCAGAATTGAGAAAAAAGGTTTAAATTAATTTTTCCCTCTAATTGTAAAGTAGAAAATTTAATCATAAATTTTAGGCTCCATTACTCACTTCCAGCAATGAAAATATTCAAATTAAATCGGGACATTCATCAACTGAACAGCTCAATGGCAAAGAAAATGATGTTTGGGAGCTTCTGGAACCAAAAGACATTCATTCTCAGATCCCACCAGAATTTTATAAATTACTAGTTGATGAAAAATGGCAAGAACGCATGAAAGGATTAGAACTTTTGTTTAAGCTTTTAAATGATTGTAAAAGAATTGCAGATGATCCTGCGCATAAACAATTAATTGCTAGCATTGGCAAGGTATGTATTTAAATTCACCCTTTTAAAATTTTTTATAAATCTGTCTTGTTTTTGTTAATGGGGAATAATTTTAAAATTTAAAATAAAAATTCTCAGGAATTACAATTGAGGGAATACAAGAATGTCTACATCTTTTCAGCTTTAGAAGCTAAAAATTTTGCAAACATTTTATTTTTCATTTTTAAGGTTCTTGCCTCGGATTCAAATATTAATTGTGCTTCTATGTCCGCCAAATGTTTATGTTTAATTGCTCAAGGACTTCGCTTTGGATTCTCTCCTTACTCTGCCGGATTGGCCCCGATTTGTTTTGACAAATTTAAAGAGAAAAAGGCAACTTTGAAAGAGCCTCTTTCTATTTTAGTCGATGCTCTTTTCTTTTCCACGATAAAGGTTGGGGAGTTTAAATTTTAAAATTGTTTATGTAAAATTAACGGTTAATAGCAAAAATTATAAGTTTTGAATTTTAATACAAAATTCTCTCCTCGCTTTATATATTACTTATACCTCCTTACTCAAGCATTGAAAAATATTACAATTCTCCGTGTTTATAAAAATTTTTTTTTCATTTTTAGAATTTACATTTAATCACGCCATTTATTTTGGAATTTGCAACAAAGCCAAACCCTAGCCAAAAGTCTCAATTAGACTTGGCTCTCTACAAACTTTTTAGTTCTTTGCCGGCAAAACATTTACCTAAAGGATTTGTTAAAGAATTGGTGCCTATTCTTTGCGAGGTTTTTTCAATGGAAAAATTATTTAACACTTAATTTTTTAGCATTGTTTGGGATCTGACCCACAAGTTAGAGATTCTTCTTGTGCTGCATTGGGAGCTTTGCAAAAATGTGTCGGAGAACAAGTTGTTTCAACTTTTTTGACTCAAAATGTTGCTACTGATGAAAGGAAAATGACCAAAATTCGAGAATATCATCATAAAGTCAAAGTAATTTATTTAAAAAAATTTAAATTTCTATTTTAAAATATCCAAAGGATATTCCTAATTTTCATTTGCCTGCTTCTAACGTGACGAATAAAGATTCAGAACATTTGATATCTTTAGAAGCATCAATTTGTTCAAATAAATCTTCAATTAAGGACAAAACCTTTACAATGAATCAAAATGTTACCAAAAACAACAAAAATGTTCGTCCATCAACAACAGCCTGTTTAACTCAAAGAACTCCTTCATCTATTAATTCAACTACAATTAAACCATCTATGCCAATATCTCGTCAAATTCCGTTTCGACCTGTTACTGCTCAGCCGCCTCAAATGACACCAACAACCAAACGGACAATGTGTTTTGCATATCCAAACACGCCTTCAGGTTCAAGAATTCCAAGAATTACAAATTTAAAAAAGTGAGGGAAAATGAGAAAAGGAGAAAAATGGTTTTAAAAAATTTTAAAGGAATTAATGTTTAAATTGAATTTTAGAGAATTTTTTTAAAAATTGATCTTCTATAGACATATTTGATTCGGGAAATTTTATATTAATTATTTATTGCTTCCATTTGATTGTTCGATTGACATGTCTTTCTTCTTTAAAAAGCCTTTTAAATAAATATTTTTTAATTTTTATTTAATGAGTTATTTTCTTTAGTTGGACAAAAATATCACATCAATAAAACAAAACTTTTTTTGAATTTATAAAAAAATTTCTTATTAAATTTTTGGTAATTAAAGGAGAAAATTTCTTTTTATAACCAAATTTAATTTGAAAAATTTTAATTTTTTTATATTATTTATTCTTAAACCATCTTTAACAAAAACATAGTTATTGTGATCTCTGTGGATCTTTAAATTTTTTATTGCTCATTCTATTTTTTCAGCGCCTTGTTCAGAGTGTTCTTTGACCTTTATTAAGATTGTATTTCTAAAGATATATTTTTTGATAAAAATTATAACAAAATCATGTTTTAAAATAGTAATTTTTAAATTTAAAAAATGGGTGAGAGGGGTCAAATATTTAGCAAATTTGGTACAATTTAAAGAATTTTTTAAAGATCAAGTTTGATCACTATTTTAAATAAAATTAACGCAAATGAACCAAATAAAACCCCCAAAATTTTATTTAAATTCTTATGTAACAACAATTTAAAATAGGTAATTCACAATTATTGAAAATGAATAAAAAATAAAATTAATTATAGTAGTAAGTAACCTTTGTTTTAATAATTGAGCATTTAATTTTATATCAAAAGTTAGCCTAATTTGTACACAATAAATTTAAAATAAAATATAAACAAAATTTTAGTTTATTTTTTTAATGACTTGTATCATCAATTTTTTGGTTAGATTTTGAATTAATATTTGGATTATCTTTAGTATTATTCATCTTTTCTTCTTTTTCATTTTCTTGTTTTAATTTATCTCCTCCTTCCCCTTCTAATTCAATTGAATGAAATCTTTCCAAATTTGGTCTTCAAAAATTATTTTTATTTATTTAAAATATTTTAAACTACCTATCAGTAATTGTTGATTGTTTATCATTATTATTAATTGTTTTATTAATTCCATTTTGATTAAATAATTTCCTTTTCTTTTCATTAATTAAAGTATTTTCTTTTAAAGAACTTTCTTGACTTCCTGATTCTTCTGGAATAACATTATGTATTCGATTGTTTGGTTTAACTTTTGAATGACTTTTTGAAATTCGTTGACGACACGAATAGACGACTGGATCAAAAACAATTAAAAATGCTGGCAAAAAGAGAAGACCATGTAAATTACACAAAACAACACAGAGAACCTTTTTAAAAGGAATTTTTCTGGAGGAAATTATTTAAAGAAAACCATTGTTTTAACAAAAACTTCAGCCATATAAAGTTTAACAAAAAGTAAAGAACAAACACAAAATATAGTAGATAAGGCTGCTTGAAGTGCAGGAAAGGCAACTGATGAGAGACAATTTACCTTTAAATAATTATTTAGTATTCATAACCAGAATTATTTCAACTCAATTTTAGTTTAAAAATTAGCTGATTTTTCGAACTAGATTTAACATGGAAAGGAATGTATTTTGGTGGATGTGGGATTTGTTATGGATTTGGTATGGAAAGATTAAATAAGGCAGAACAGAAATTTTAAGATTTAAGTATCTGGATAGCTAAATTCTAATTTCACATTTTTAGAAAGAGAAAATAATTAAATAACTAGAAAAGTGTTTTGTTGCTCCGGCAATTTATGCATAATAAATCTATGCATTAATTCAGACTAATGTCAAATATATTTTTAAATTCTCACCAATTTCATTTCTGGAGTTGCATTTAATTCTCGAATTGCTTAATTTATTTAATTTTAAAATAAATTTTGAAAGAAACTAACAAGCTTGGTAGTAATGATAGGAAACGTGTGCAGGAATGTCAACACTAAAACCAATTGAAATAATCATAGCAGCCTAGAAAAATTTTTAAAAAATAAAAAAACATTAAAATCTCCAACCATCATAATTGGATCTAAATCTATACTCCACCAACTTAAAATCCCCAAAATTCCACAACAAATTGAGAGAACACAGCTTGAAGCAAAGATAACAGTAAACATACTGCTTAAAAATGCAAAACAAACAAATGCCATACAAACCTTTAGAGATTAAAAATCTTTAGATATTTAAAAATAATAAAGAAAAAATAAAAATTCCTTCTTAACCTTTGGAGATAAGCTTTGACATTTTTAAAGTAAGCTCAGAATTTTTTGAAAATAAAACAGAAAAACTATTTAAAATCGAAAACTCCTCTCGTTTTTTGCAAACTCGACAATAATAATAAATAACAAATTTCAAACAGAAAAGCATAAAAAACCCTACCAAAGTTCCAAGCACAGACTGCCATGTATCTGAAGGCATATTATCTATTAAATCAAGAAATACAGCATCTTCATGAAAAACGGAAGCATCAAAATCTTGTCTTTAAAAATTATTTTTTTTATATTCTTAAATAGATAACTAACGAATATTTATCTACTACAGCCCTCCATTCTTTTAAAAGTTTTCCCCTTTCAGTCCAAACTTCAAGTTTATCTCCGTGATATCCAGTTGTAAAGAAAAAACGTTCTAATTGCCCACTATAAATATTTTTAAATTATTAATTTAATTTTGTCCAAACGTTTTATTATCCAATTTTAAAAATCCACTCCATTGAGTATATTCTGGCCAACGCAAAAAGACAGCTAAATCTTCTTCCTTAAACGGGCCTGTAGGGATTTCTAATGACCTTTCATCGTCTACTGTCATTTCAGATATTTGAGGTGAATCAGAATTTTCATTTAATCCTTTTTCTAATTCCATAGCTTCTAATTCGTCAGGATCTGTTTCTCCTAAATAAAAATATTTGTATGAAAGATGATATGTAATTAATATTTAAAGAAATCAAAGTCTCAAGCTTATAATTAATCTCAGAAATAGAAAAAGTCCCCATATAACACCATCCTTTGTAATTCAAATAAAAAACTTCTTTAACCCAGTTATAATATTATTGTCAAAATCGGTTTTTTCGGTTTTGGTTTTGACCAAATACGGTTCTATTATGGAGAGCCTTACTCGACAACATACATAGATTATAAATTTAATATTTTTCATTTATACTAGATTTAAATTCCTAATAAATTATTAAAATTTTATTTAAAAATTTTTGCCTGCCTCCAAAATTTTTCTCAAAAGTAATAAAATCTCTAACAAAGTATTGAGTGCCAATAGTTCCCCAAGAACGGCCCCAAGTTCCATTTAGTTGTTCCATTTCTCTTACAAAATTATTCATTTTTTCAAGTCGTTCAGGATTGCTTAAATTTTTTGGTGCACAAATAAAAACTGTGGCCATCATAAAATGAGGTACTTGGTATTTAACACGTAATTTATCCAACTTTATTTTGAATAAAATTTTTATTTATTTAGAAAGAAATACTTGTAATAAAGGAGAATCTTCTGCAAATAATTTTTGTGTAGTTAAATTAATATTCATTCTAGTTATCCCCCAAATTGAGAAGCCAACATAAACAAAATAAATAAAAATAACAAACAAAGCAACTACACGTTTTGATATTACTTTTATGTAAAAAGTTATTGTTTTGCTAATATAATGTTTTGTATGTTCGTGAAATTTGCTTTGTTGTCTCTGAAAATAAATTTATTTTTTAGATTTCTGAAAAAATTAAAACTACTACTACTTAAACGCTCATCTTTCTCCTGAACATGCCCCTAAAACATGTCCTCTCCTAAATATGTCCTAAAGTATCCCATTTAAATCGGGATAAAGTTCCTCTATATTAAAGAAAAATAATTTTAGATTTACATTTAAAGATTGATGTTTTCCATAGCCTAATTCGCAATTATTATTATTATTAATTCCAATTTGAGAAGAACCATTAGAAATTGCTTTTCTTATACTTTCTTGTATTTCCCTTCTTTCGCGTTTTTCTAAAGCAATTTCATATCTACCTACAAGAGACATTAAACCAGCATAACAAGTCATCTTTAAATTTTTTTTATCAAAACAAAATTATTTTAAATACTTGATAAATAAAAGCAATAATCATCGAAATTAAATTTCCAACACACAAAAGTGTTATTTCTGGGGAGGATGTAATGGCACCTATCCCATCAGCAAACACATTGGTTAACATTGAAATTAATATAGCTGGCCCAACTTCTGAGAGAACCTTAAAAATAATTTAAAAATTTAAATTATTGTTGGTAATTTAAAAATCTGAGAAGGAATGAGAAGGTTTTGACGGAAAAAATACAAGAAATAAATATACTACTTTATTTTATTTAAAATAAAACACACTTGAGATACTCGATAACCAACATTTAAATTTTTTCTATTTGGCTGTTCACGGCAATGTTTAATAACACTTTGCCATTCATGATTCATTAAATAAGAAGAATCAACGCCTATTGAAAGAACTAAAAAAGGGATAACACACAAAATTGAAGCAAATCTCAATCCACAAATAAACATTAAACCAAGTGCTGTTGCACAAGACATAAAAGGCAAAAAACAAATTGCTATAGCCAAAAATATCTTTTTTTTTTTAATTTAAAAAATTATTTTTTTTTTGAATTAAAACTTTTGGGGGACTATTTTGATGCATATAAATGGCACGATTTAATACAAAAAATACTGAGCAGGCAACCATAAACAAAAAACCAACAGACAAATATGGAACCATTGAAATTCCGGCACGTACCTAATTTAAAAAATAATTCTTTAAATTAAAGTAACTAACCATTTCTTCCTCTACATAAGTTGTTGATAATACATATAACTTTAAACGTTCAGATTTGTATTCCCTTTTTAAGAAAAAATAAAATTTTTTCTTAATTTTTTTTTAAATTAAATCTTCTACTTTTCAAATCGGTTAACCATTGCCATTTCATAAGTTTTTACAATTTCACTAGTCCACCCATTTTCATGTTCTGCTCGAAATTGTAATACAACCATTTTTATCTAATTTAATATAAAATTTAATTTTACAAAATTTTAAATTCTGAAGAATTTCTAACAAAATTTTATTAGGGACAATAAATAAAAGTCTCTCGGTGCTATCTGTTCAAAATTGAAAATGAAAGGAAAAACAGAAATCACTTTAATGTGAAGGAAAAGAAAAGTGCTTTTTCTAAATTTTGTTGGGTACTAAAAATCCCTGCCAACATTTTTTTATATAAATTCTTTTTTAAAAATTAAATAACCGATTTTATATTTGTAATTTTAGTCGTTGAATTATTTTCTAAATTTAAAATATTATCATTTTCAATATCCCTTCCAGTTCTATTTTTCTTCGATTCTTTTTGTTTTATTAAAATATTTGTTTTATTTTTATTTTCTTCCTCCTCCTCTTCATCAGCTTTTACTTTAAGTAATGCAGCTGTTAAATTAAAATTATTTTTATCTTCAATTTCATTTGTATAATTATAACGTTCAACACCAAAAAAGCTTTGCTATAAAAATAAACTTTAATTAAATTATAATTTATTTAATCGAGAATTTCTTTTTAAATTTTGATACAAAAACAAAAAAACATTTTTTAATTTTCTTGTCGTATATTTGGATTGTTTAGAATTTTTGGGCCAAATAAAAATTATTTTTCCTGTCCCTAATTATCTAAATTAAATTTCCCTCTTTACTTGTAAAGTAAAAGTGTGTCCAAGAATTTGAGATTTTGGATAATTTAATTTAATTCTTGAATTTGGTTTATTTCCCATAGCTATAGATTCTAATTGAAGTCGAAAGCCATTCTAAAATTAATTAAAAGAAATTTTTTTTTCAAATAATTTTTAAACAAACATAAAAGCCCCTAACAGGCTCGTTAATTTTACAAAAACTGCGGCAAAATTGAGCAAAACTTTTGTTATGGCCATTTTGTTGTAAAGTTACATTTTCATTTGCCAAATTTAAAATCTTTTTTTAAATAAAAAAAATATTTTTCTTTTTTAAATTTAATTTCTTAAAAATTACTTCAATTGTTTCATTGAGGTATCTTTCCCTGAGCATATTTCCCCCATCCTTAGCTAAAGCAAAAATATAAACAGTAATACCCGGTCCATCATGAGAGAAAAATTCCTGAAAATTTTTTAATTTATTTAGAGGTGTTTAATTAAAATTATTTAAATAAACAAATTTAAAAACCAACTTGATAACGAGTAAATTCTTGTCTAGCTGTTAAATATTAAAATTAGAATATTCAAGATTATAAACAAACCTCTTGCTCCATATGGAGAATAACCAGTAATATCATTCTCTTGCCTTAATATTTAAATATTTTAAATAAATTAGGTAATTTACTTTGTTGTCAATACAAAATAACTAGAAAAATAATTTAAAAATTTTATTTAAATTAAAAAACCTACAGGCAAACAAGACTGATTAATACACAAATGAGAATTGCCTTTAAACTATGATCAGCAATGAAATAACTGGAAAATATTTTTATATAAATAAAAATATTTTGAATATTAAATTATTAAAATTTAATTAATAATGGGCAAGTTATTTGTATTTAATAAAAATAAAATCTTGACTAAAATTGGACGAGTGTATGTCTATTCTTTAGTTATAGATATCACAGGACACCAATTTCCGGAACCTTGGGGTATTCTAAAACAGTGATTAATTATTCATAAGATGATATAATGAGCTAGACATTTAATAATAATTATGTAAGTATTTTTAATTTAATTTTAATTAAAATACCCCCATCTCCGATAGCATCGAATGATAAAAATAACAAAACGAGGCATAGGTTCGCCAGGCTGTTCCATGAGTAAGTCTACAGAACGCTAACAAAATTTCCAAACAAAATTGAGATTATTTAAAAATTTTAAAATACCTGCCCCATAACTATAGAACTTCTTCTCTTTTCCATAAAAGAAGGGGGATGCCCTCCAAATATGGCTGGGACTCGATTCCGCAAATCTGATGGGATTGGAGAGCCTGAACGGGTCACCGTGCCTGCATGAGATGGGGGAGTTTGGGGTAGTGATGAAGGAGGGGAATCCATTGGTAAATCTTCTGTCATTTTAATTTAATAAAATAAATAATTGTTGAATATTTTAAAATATGTAGGCTAAAATTAATTTTTAAAAAATTAAATATTTTTTTTGTTAAAAAGGAATTGGACAGAACAATGATTAATTAAATACTGTTGATGAATCAAATACATATATCATTTAACAGAGATTATTTTGGATACTTGTTTGATGGGATTAGAGAGTGCCTAATTTACTTTTTTTTAATTTTCAATAAAATTTAATAAATTTTGAACTAAAATTTAAACTTTTTTCACGTAAATATTTAAAAATATTTTTTGTTTTTATCCAAATATATAGACTTGTATAAAAGAGAAAATAAATAAATAAAGAGATGTAAAAGTCAAAGCAAAGCCGCGAATAAATCAATCAATTTGTTGGAGTATTCAAAAGATTTTTTGTTAGCTAATCCAATCATCTGCATATTGCGCATCTTTACAAGGAGATAATCAATTTATTTAATCTACAAATAGCGAAAGGAGGAAAATTTAGTTTAAAAATATTTAAATAAATTAAATATTTGTTTAAAAAAGTTGTTTATTTTTTTAGAATTATTAAATAATGATAAAAGTGGATGGGGGTAATAAATACTTATTTATAAAGGAAATAAAAAATCACATGTTTTCCGTTAATTCTGACAAATATTTGTCGAATTTTCTGATTGGCCTTTGGTGTATATTACAGAAAATAAATAATATAAACTTTAAAGATCAACTTAAGTTTTTAATTATAATTAATTATTAAATACATGTTGTAAAAAAGTAACTTTTAAAAAGAAAAGCAAAAGATCAAAAAATTATAGAAAGGGAAAAAAAAATAAAAATTAATTAAACGAGAAATTAGACAAAAAAAGGAGAAAATTTAATGAAAATTGAAATTTCTTGATTTTATAGCGGTAAAGGAAAATAAATTGTTTTAAATAAAATAACACAATTGTGAAGAAAAGATGCCGACAAACAAAAAATGAGTGGTGGGTGTTGAGTAAATTGTTGCTGCGGGCAAACGGAAAGTGAAAGATTATAGGAAAGGGAGAGAGACAATAAAATTGAGAAAAAAGTGAAAAAAAAGAAAGAAAAAAAGTAAATCGCGCAACTAAGTAGGAGACGTTGTTGTAAATGGCTGCGGCGACATATTTTGTGTGTTTGATTTGTTTAGGCCAATATATAAATTTTTTTGGAGAAAGTATTGAAGAAGAAGAAGGTGTTGGTTGGTTGTGTAATGATGATAATAAGTGAGGGTGGAAAATGTAAAAGATGAAGAGACGTTGAAGAAAGAAGAAAAAAAAATTGGGTTTCAAAGACGTTAGGAATTGCGCAAACCCTAAAAAGAATAACGAGAAAATAAAAAAAAATTATTTTCTACATTAATGCTATTAAATATTAAAATAATAAAATTTAGCTTTAAGGTTTTCCTAAATTAAACATCTTGACCAAAAAGATGAAAAAAGTTTACCTAAATTTAGTTATTTTTTATTTTTTATTTAATTTTTAAATTTAGTAGACAATAAAATCTACGAAGTAAAATATTTAATCATTAGAAGAAGTTTTTTTTATTCAAAATGGTTATTATAAAAAGATGATAATTAAAATAAAAATCAAAGAGAATTTAGCTTAAAAATTTTTTTAATAATTTTTGGTAATTATATATTTAATATATTTGTGATCGATGAGAATATATAATGGATCAACATTACCCACAAAATTTATTTAAAAAAAAACCAGTTACAGTTTTTATATATTGAATAACATTAAAGAAATTTAATTGAAAATATATATAAATTAAAATTAAAATAAAAGTAATGTGACTTTAAATAAATAAATATATTTATATAGACTATTTGAAATTTGTTTTTGTTTATAAAATTTTAAATAAAAATTGTTTGGGAAATTAATCTTTTAATTTATCTTTAAATAAAAATAAATTAATTTTTACTATTTTTGGGGGAAATTGTTTTTAGAAACAATTAATTAATTAGAAAATAATAAAAGAAGAAATCTGTTATCACCGAGATTCCATAAATTTAAAACTATAAATAATTAAAAAAATTAATATAAATATTTTTATTTTTAAAAATTAATTAATTAATTATTTACAAATAAAAAATCTTTTTTTTATTTTTCTCTTAAACAAAAAATTCTTTTTCAATTTTACGAGGGGGCCTTCGAGGACTTGGACCGAGTTCATAGCTATCACCAGCTTTTTGTCTTAAAACTTTTAATTAATTTTTAATTTAATTAAATACCTGCAATAATTAATAACAATAATTAATGCCAACAAAATACTTGAAAGTAAAAAAATTAAAATTAAAGGTTGTTGAATGCCGGTAATTAAACGTTGAAACATTTTTTAAATAATTTTAATAAAATAAAATATTTTATTTATTTTAATTCAAAAGAAGACTATTTTAAATAAAAATTTAAATGTGCCATTTTAGGAGAGAGAAAAAATGAAGAACAAACAAACATAAAATAAAAAAAAGAATTATGTATTACAACATCCTTTTTTTACTTCTTTTTAGCTGTCATTTTTTACTTCTTATTTTTATTCTTTTTTTACTTAAAAACTTCGATGCATAACATCAATTAAGCGCCTAAGGCGGAAATGTTTTTTGCTTTAAAAATAATTTTTGGGTAAAAAGAAGAAAATATGTGTATATTTAAATTTGAATAGTTTTTAAAAGAAACCTAAAAATAGAGGTTTTTACAAGGTTTATTTAAAATTAAATTTACTTTTTGATTTAAAAAAATAATGAGAAGAACTAAAAATAAAATGATACAAAATTAAATTTAAAAATATTTAAATACTAAACACGTAAAAAATAATAAAAGTTGCTTAAATTAATTATCATTGCTTTCTGATTCTTTATAGTTTTATGAGTAGAAAAGAAAAATACGGGAAAATCAAATACATAAATATGTAGTACAAATAAATTTTATTGATATTCTTGCAGAATTCACTACAAGGTAGGCAAATCAAAGGGAAAATTAAGGAAGATTAAGGGAAAATTAAGGGAAAAATTATGGGAGAATCTATTGAATATCATTATAGAATAGAGTTTAATTTAAAAATTTAAAAATTAAAATAATTATTTATTACTTCAAATTTTTTTGAATAGAGAATGGTCAATATTGTAGTGAAAATGAAATTAGATAAATTAAAATATTAAGCTCAGAAATTGATAATTTAATAAATATTTTAATGACTTTTTTGGATGGATTTGGTTGAGATAAATAGAATCTGGTTACCGCATAGATTTATGGGTAATTTAAAGCCTTGATCAATAAATTGATGAAATATTTTAAATTTAATAATTAAACAAATTAAATTTATTTCAAAAATTATGGAAATAAATGTTAATTTTCAAAAAATTCATTAAGAATGTCCAGAATTTAGATGTGGGAATTTTGAAAAAAATTGAAGCAGCTCCTTTTTGTTTTAAGATAGAGTTATACAAGCCGAAATCGATATATCGATATATATCTCGAATATCGGTCATTTTCCAATATCGATATCGATTATATCAATATCTACTAATCTCGATACCTAATTTTTCCTAAAATATCGATATCGTCCAACTCTATTTAAAGTAGTCTCTTGGACGACTTTAAAACATAAAACTAGAATACTTAGTACTACTCAGAAAATTATAAACATAAATTATTATTAAAATATTATATATATGTACATTAATATTATAAAATTTATAAATTATAAATTATTATGTATTTAAAATCAAAAAATTATAAATTATCAGGTTAAAAAAGATAAGTCTGTTTATTTATTAAATTAATTATTGCCAGACTTGTTTTTTTTATAAAAAGCAACTTTTGTTTTTGTAAAATATATTTCAATTAATTAAATCTTTTTATTTATAAGCTAAAAATATATTGATTTCTAATTAATTTCCACCCAATTAATTGTCTACTAGCTCTCATTATTATATTAGAGAATTCAATAAAATATTCAATTAACAACCTTTTCTTATTATTACCCCATTAAAGGTTCTGTCCAATTAATAAAGTAGTTAACGGCAATCGTTTTATTTTTTTTACAATTCTTTTTACTATCTCAATTAAAAATAAAAAGCAATTGTGTGTAGAGTATATCTCTACTTCTACTTCTACTACTTCCGAGGCGTTCATTATATTTATTTATTTATTTTCAAGTCCATAACAACTGCCCCCCATTTTTTGCAGCCTTTTCCCCTTTCTCATATTAATTACTGCCCCATATCCAATTACCCATCGGCACACCGGTGTGCCATTCAAAAGCTCTGAAAGTGTGGGAGCAACTGACATTACAAGTAAGTATATACACACAAAGAGTTTTTACGTTTATTTTTGCTAATTGCTTTGCCTAAATGAAAATGTTGTTGTTGACTCTTGACAAAAAAATTTTTTAGCTCTTTATTTTTGTGGTTTTTGTTAATTATTTCAGTTCTTTCCTTATGTACAGGTCAAATTACTTTCGTTTAATTAAATAAAATCTTTCTCAGATTGCTTTGGTCAGTTTAGGAATATTTACATTATTGATATATCGAGAATTGTAATAATCTTTCAAATTCGGTTTTTTAAAAAATCATTATAAATTATTTATAAATATTTTGTTTCTATTTAATTACATATTACTAATAAATATAAAAATGCCCAAGAGTACATATTTAATTAAGACTTAATAAAATGCCAAATATAATTAATTATCCCTTTTTATAATTTATTTTCCTTTTTTAATTAGTTACTAGCTAATTGACATACACAAGTTTATAAATTTGCTTAATTTAATTTTTAAAAGTTAACAAAATATTTTGTTATCATTTAAAAATTATCATATTTAGAAAAATTACTCGATATTAAAAATATATTTCAAAACTTTATTTGGGAATTTAACATGTATGTACATAAATATTATTTAATTTTTTATCCACTATATCCCTTTCTTTAATTTTTTAATTTAATTAAAAATAATTTTTTTAAAAAAAACTTTAATTTATTTTCATTTATTTTATCAGTCTTTTCTCTACATTAGATATTAATTTAATTAAATAATTTATTAAAAATGTAAAGGCAAAATGAGAGCATTTTACTTTGCCTTTACATTTTTTAATTAATTTTCTTTAATTTGTTAATTTAATTTATTTCTTATTTTTTTAATTAAATTTTCTGTTGGGCAAATAAATATTTTTATATATTAAAATATATTTATTAGTTGTATATGCCTTTTAAATTCTTAAAAAAAATTTTTTTTTAATTTAAATTAATCTCTTTCTCATTTCCTCAATAAATAAAATTTTTAAATAACATAAAGAAAATTAATTTAATTATATATGTAGATAGCAGAAAATATTAAATAGTTAGTGGTAGTCAAAAGAAAATAATTAATTTAATTAATTAATTAAAAATGTCAATATTAATTAAAATTAAAAATTAATTAATTAATTTTTAGAAGTACTCCTTCCTCCCTTTCTTTCCTCTCAACAGCAATTAAAAACCATTCCTCTCTCACTCATTCCTTTCATCAAATTATCATCGGTGGAATAGTCACATCCTGACCTCTTCCCCCCAAAACTGACTGAGCGGCTCTTAAGCGCTTTTAATTTGTCTAATGCACTTCTCTTTGCGTGTGTTGTGCCCATCCCCTTCAACCAACCTCCTTTCTTCTGTTGATGCTTCTCCTCTGTTAAATGGCCCCCAAGTGCGTGTGTGCCGAGTGTTTGTTTCGCGCCCGCCACATGGAGTGAATTCGGGCCGCTTTAATTAATTTTATTAGATGCTAGTTAGTTAGCCTCTCCTCTATCTTCCCCCCCCCTTTATTTTTTAGCTTTGGCACACACCACACATTGACTAAATATATTTTCTTCAAATAATCGACAGCTGGATGAATTAATCCATTAATAATAAAAGGGGTTTTGATTTTAGTTTTAGACATCTTGTGAATTTTTGATAAGGAAAGAGGTTATCAATTAAGAGGTTTCTGACTAAATAGTAGCAGTAATTAAAATTCCCCTTTTTCTCAATAAATTTCCTGCCTTTTATTTTTATTTTGAGTGATTTATCTGTCAAAATTTAAAGCATTGTTACCACATAATAATTTTCTGATCCTCTCAATATTTTATTAAAGATTTTTTGTTCTTTTTTACAAAACAAAATAATAGAGGTTTTCTGACTAGTAAAGAAATAATTAAAAAATACATTTTTAATTATTTTATTTAATTCTCTCCCTTTTCTGGATATTCTCTCATACATATATTTATTCCTCAAATTTTTCACTCACATTCAATATCAGCAAGCCTCAATACGCGCCTCATTTCTCTCAATGAATTTCCTGCCTCTCAAAATACTTGTCTTCTGTCTGCACAGTCCGCCTTTAGGTTGTTACTTAATTAATTCGGCCCCAATTAGGAGAGCGAGCCCCCCACAACAGATTGAAATTGGCGTGTACACACAACAACAAATATACACACATGGCTGACTAAAAGAGTTAAGGAGTCATCAGGCTGACAGCAACAAAAGTAGTATTAACAAGTAGTAGCAGTACATTTATAAGCGTATGTGCCCCCTCCTTTTTCGAAATTAATCCAATTAGCGAATCGATCGCGCGCGCTCACCACAGAACATAGGACAAACACCAACACCCCCAAAACCCATAAATGAGTAAAGATTTTGTTTTTGATGAAAAGAACCTCAAAAAGGAAGGAGAGGGTTAAGTATTATTTTTAATTTTCTTTTCTTTTTTTTTCTTTTTTGTTTACCTCAAAAAGCCTTCAAAAAAACTTTTTTTTCATTTTCTTTTATTTTAATTAAATAATTTCTTTTTAAAAAAAGTCCTTCCATTATTTTTCCTCTCTCTCATTTTAATTTATAACTACTATTTATTTATTATTTACAAATCGAAACATCTTTTTCTTATTTAATCCGCAACGTGTAATTAGTAACATTATAACCACATCCCTGTCTCGGTCAGCCTTTTAGCGTCTCATTCCTTCATTTATTCTTTATTTTTCTGTTGCTGGCTCATTAACATTAACAGCGCCGCGAGATTGCTTAATGAGAGAAAGAAATGGCTTTTTAGTTGTTAGGCTAGAAAATATACTTTTAATTTTATTTTTTTAATTTTAATTTGCTTCCCTTAAAGTGCGAAAAATAGCAAAAATAATTTGTAAAATTATTTTTATTTAAAATGGACAGAATAATTCCCTCTCAACCTCATTCTCTCAACCGAGGAGTTAAGAATCTCCGCGGTTCGAATACCTCAAACCATGTTTCACTTATTTTGTGACAATGATATGCTTTTGTTTATGTACTTCTCGGACTATTGTTTTTCCAGAGATGTTGCTTCTCCGCTTCCGCCTTTCTTTTTTTAAATACATGTGTTTTCAACATCCTCGTTGGTTTCCAACTTATTCAAAAACAAGTTAGACATTTTTTTTCACAAAAACAGTTCAGAATCTTTAAATAATATTAAAAAGCTAAATTCAAAATTAGAAAATCCAACAAAAATGTTTTTGTGATTAAAAATTTTTATTCTCAACACATTTTCTTTTAATTTTCCCCCAAAAGTATCGCTACACATTGCCGTCATTTGCTTCCGTCTAACCCACAAAATTAGCAATACTCCTCTACTAGCTATATATCCCCCCAATCTGCAGGCCAATGGAATTAAGCATTATTTTCGTTCTCCTTTTGCTTTTCCACAACTTTTCCCCCCTGTTTTGTCGAAAAGATGTCGAAAGACTTTATTTGGCCGCTGATTAGCAGCAATGGCTGGGCCAATTAGGGAGTGACTGCTGTAGTTTATTTAGTTAAAAGAGACTTTATTTTTTTATTTTGTTGATGATTTTGTTGATGAAATAAAGTAGTAGAGGCACGAAATGAAGCAATTTGTTGTCCAATTCCTAAATTTATTTAATTTATCTAATTCTTTAAATTTTCTTTTTTTCCCCTTTTTAATTCTAAATTTGTGACATTCTTTTACTAAATACTAAAATTGGCTTTTTAAAAATAGTAAATATAAATAGTTTGTTGTTTTAAATAAATATTTTTGGAAATTCATAATCTCGTTGTTTTTATTTTGTTTTATTCTTTCCCCCCTCTAATTAATAAATTTAAATTTTTAAAAAAATTTTTGTTAATTATAGGAATTTTAAATTTAATTATTTAACAAATTATTTATAATAATTATTTGACCTTCTCACATTTTCAAATCATTTATATCTACTTTATATAAACCAATAATTTTCAAAAAAAAATTTTTTTTCTTTAATTGACACCCTTTTCATCTTCTTTTCTTAATAAAAAAATATATTTTCATGCCTGATTTAAAGAAAAACTTTTTTTAAATAATTTTCTCGATTATAAACCAATTCTAATGGAAATTAGGAATATATAAAAATTTACAAAAAAATGAGCAAAATAAAAATATTTTCTCGCAAAAATAATATTATAATATTTATGTTCAAAAGGCGTCAATGAGGTAGCGGGAATAATTGGTTTATATTTAATAAAAAAAAAAAAGAAAATATATTTTAAATTAAGAAAAATGTTATTTAAATGATTTTAAACGTTTTATTTAATAGTGCATTATTTAATTTATTTATTTTTGATAATTTAATAAACAAAAATATTAATTTTATTTCACATAATAAAAAATATATACCTATTTCTTTTTTAAATAAAAAAATTTTTAGTTGAAAAGCGGCTAAAAATATTCAAGGATAACTTTAGAATTGGGCATTTTTAAATTTTTATTTAAATGTTATTTAATAATTAGGTTTTTATCGTGTTTTCTGTGTGATACATATTTTTATCAGACTTTGTTATTAATTTAAATTCTTTTTTTTTAAATTAGATTTATAGTAAATAATTAAAAACAAAATAATTATTATTTATTTTAAACAAACTTTTTATATATAAATTAAATTCATTTATTTTAAATAATTGCCAAGTTTTGTGTTTTTCCTAAAAAATTTTTTCTGATTCTCTCAAAGCTTTGAAGCGAATATATATTTATTTATTTTATTCTACCTCACCATCACTACTCTCTCAGAAAGGTGTTTGGTGAAGGGCAATTTAGACGATTATTTAAAAATATTGGCCAAAACCGTAAATGCCACACTTTTTAAATAATTTTAAGCATTTTACACTCTGTCTGTAGCTAACAGCTTAATTTTAAGTTTTTAGTTCTAACAATGCGCACCCGGCCGTGAAACTAATGTATATAAATGTGTTTGGTTAAATTGTCGGTCAGCCCTAGTAATTTTAAAAATCGGCCTCAAATACATTAAATAATGGAAGGAAGGTTTTTACTAAATAAATAAGGAAAATAAATATTTTCTTTTAAAATATTTAAAAGTTTTTTCAAAATATTTTTAAATAAAAAACAAAGAACTAATCCAAAAATTTATTTCAAATATTTAATTATTTTTTAAACTTTCTACTGTAATTTCTATATATTTTTATTATTAAATGACAAGAAATACGCATGGAGTATTTATTTAATATACAAAATTATAGCAAGTAATTGACCAAACAAAATTTTAACAAATTATAGCGAATTATTTAAGTGAGAGGAGGGGGGAGGGGGAATTGTTGAATTATATGGAGTAGAAGAATGAGAGAATAAATTGGCAATATTTTTCTTTCTCATTTTTTTGAAAAAAAAGTTTATAACCTTGTAATAATAATAAATAAATAGATGGCCTCAAAATTTTCTTTTTCCTAATTTTTCTTTTTTTTTCATTTCATTTTCTCCAATTTCTCATTTAATACCCTCTATCTCCCTCAATTCTTGTATTTTTAATAATTTTTATATATTCATCTCAATTTATTCTTAAAAACTTAAAATGAGAATGTTTATTTAGTTAAAAAAAAAGAATTTATATATTTTCATTCCCTCAAGATAGGAGGAGTTTTTGGGCATTTATATATTTATTAGTAGAGTAGTAGTTGATTAGCCGCCAGCCGCCTCTTTTCCCTTTTTTCCCCTTAACTTTTACATAAATGCCTAGGCTCGTCATTTGTAAATTCATTTTTATTCCTTAACTAACCCCCCCCCCTCTCCCCCTCCTCTCTCCCCCTTCCCTTTCCCGACAAATCCAATTGGTTAGGGACTTTTCTTCCCTTTCATTTTCTCATCATCAAAATCTTTGTCACCCTCCATTTAATAAAAAGGCAAAATCATTTCTTTAAAAAAAGTTATTTCCTCTTTAGCCCTTCTTAATTTATCAGGCACTTGAATATATTTTTGTGAATTACGACAAATAAGAGGTTTTGAAAATTAAATTTTTGCTTTTCCCAATTCTCCTCCTCCACACTTTTTACGTTTTTTTAAATTAGGCTGCGTAAACGATGAATTGATGGACAAAATGGCAAATAATTTTACGTGCCAAAATTTGCCTTAATTTTTGTAAATATTTTCCTTTAAAGAATTTAAGTTTTATTTTACTTAACTAAATTTACTTTCCCCTCATTTTTGTTAAGTTTTTCCCTAAAATAAATTATGAATTGCTTAAATTACTGTAACTTTTAAAAAGTTTTTAAAAATAATTTTTGACTTTTTTGACATTTGTTATAAAATTCCAACTTTAATTTAAATGATAACAAACTGAAAAGGTATTTTGGTGATTACAAAATTCGCTCAATAAAAAAGGATTTTGATAAAAAAATCCGTGATCAATTACTTTTTTTAAATTTTAAATAATAATTATTCTTTATTTAAAATTTAGTAATTATGAAAAAAGAAAATTCCAAATTATCCCCAATTAATTCAAATCAAGATATTTCCATTAATTTAACTAAAAACAACGATAATTCTACAAGTTTTCTTGCCAACGATAATAATATTATTTCAAATTTTCTTTCAAAAGGTATTTCTTAAAATTAATTTTAAAATAAATAAAAATTAATTAATTTAAAGAAAGTTTACTTAATTCTTTGGTTGCATCCTCTTCAGTTCCTTCAACTTCTTCCCCTATTTTTTCACCAACTTCAAATTCTTCTTTTAATTATTGTGGAAGTAATACAGGAGGGGGGAATATACTCGCTAGAAATAGCACAAAAACTTTAAAATGTCCAAAATGTAATTGGCATTATAAATATCAAGAAACACTTGAAATACACATGAAAGAAAAACATGCTGATCAAGAAGTAAATTAAAAGGGGAAAAATTAAATAATTATTTATTTTTAAAAGGTTTTATGTCTCTTCTGTTTAGAAAATCAAACACATCCAAAACTTGCCAGAGGAGAAACATATTCTTGCGGCTATAAACCTTATAGGTATTTAATTATTTAGTAATTAAAATTTAAAATTTAAAGATGCGAACTTTGTAAATATTCAACAACAACAAAAGGCAATCTTTCAATTCACATGCAATCAGACAAACACTTGCATGCTTTACAAGAAATCCCTCAATCTTTGGCGGCTGCTGCTGTAGCGGCTAGTAAATTTTTTGTTATTTTATATTTATATTTTGTAAAATTGTTTAATTGAAATATTTATTTTCAGTTGTTGAAATTAATTTTAACCTTTGATTGTTGAAATTTTAATTGTTGAAATTAAAACCTTTAATGTTTTTAATTTTTGTTTTAAAATTATTACTTGTTAAGAATTTTAAATTACGGAAACATAAACGCTATTATACCCCTCAAACTTGAATCCGGCCTGATTATTTCTAAATATTTATTTTTAAAAAGGTTCTTCTCAATTAATACTCGGAAATACTCAATTTAATAATACCAATAATTATTCATCAACACAACAAGAATTCGTTGTAGATATTTCCAATACTTCCACAAATAATTCTAAAATAATTGGGGGGTCTCTTCAATGTTTAATTTGTTTTAATTTTTATACTGATATTTCGGAAATTATGGTTGAACATGTAGAAAAGGATAGAAGCCTAACACAAGAATGTGATATTTCTACAATTAATGGATATTTTCAAGTAATTAAAAATAAAAATTATTCTACATTTTAAATATTCTAATTAGTGTTTAATATGTCCATACAGCACTAATTTAAAAGCAAACTTTCAATTACACACTCGTACAGACAAACACCTTCAACGTGTTCAAATGGTTAATTAATTAAAATATTTTTATTTTTTACTAAGAAAACTAAAATTTTATTTTCAATCCAAAAAAAGAGAGAAATACTAAGACATTCCTTGTAAAATATAACAAACCAACGATTTTGTTTGGAAAATAATTTTTTGTTTGTTTCTAATCAAAATTTTGTGTTAAATGAGGTGTGGAGTTTGTCGATATTCTCTCTCTTTCCCTCACCAAAAAAAGAATAAAAATAAAATATCCTTGTAATTTCTCTTAAAAATTATTTAATAGATTAATCATTTACGAGAAGGAATTACTGGACTTTTTGGACAATCTGAACAATTTGCAAGACTTGGAACACTTAAAAGTGCTGTTCAAGTACGATGTCAGGAATGCGAAGAAATATTTTCTTGGTAAAATTAAGATTAATTTCCTAAAAAGAGACCTAAAAATTGAAAAATTAATTTCAAAAAAATATTCAAAAACAAATTTTTGTGTTTAAAATCCCTGTCGGGTTCCTATTTAATTCATAAAACCCTTGTCACGATCGTAAAGCTAAACAACCGATAAAAAGGCGCCTTTACCGTAGAAAAAGAATTATTATTTGTTTGTTTGGTAAAAATGGGCGCAAATAAATTAATGAAAAAAAGAGAGAAATTTAAGAGAAATATTATTTATTTGATTATTTAAATTTTTCAGAGATTTTATTACTTTAACCAACATTAAAAAAAGTGCACTTTGAATTTTTAAAATAAAAATATTAATTTTTGTTAAAATTTTATTAAAATATTTTTTATCAAAAATATTTTGTAGTTATTTTAATTTAAAATTTAAATTAAATTTTTCTCAGTATTACAACACTTCGAGAACATTGCCAATCTTATTCACACCAAATTCGAATGATTGGAAGTGGTAGATGTTTACAAAATGAAATTGAAAATGTTTTGGAATCTTTTTTGAGTGAATTGTCTTTAAGTTGTGGGATTTGTGATTGGGAAGAGAGTGGAAATGAAAAAATAATTTCTTTAGCTTTTGGTTTCTAAATTAAAGATACCTAAATATTATTTTTTTAATTTTAGAGCATGCCAACACTCATTCTGAACAATTTATTGAAATTACAAAACAAAATGATAATTTAATTCAAAATAATTCAAATAAAGGTAAACAAACCTTTTAATTTTTGGTTATTTATTCAAAATTAAAATTTGTTCTGTTTCGAGATTTAATGGGCCAAATATTTAAAAAAAAATATAAAGGAAATGCGCGGCAGGCAATCCCTGCCGCAAACAATAATAAAAAAGCCTAAAATAATTTTAAAATGTGTTGACCCCAAACAAATTTCCGCCACCTTTAACTTCCTTTCTAGCTGCGGTGCTTTTTAAATATTTTTATTTTTAAGGTGAGAAATAAATATATTTTTGTTTTGAACCTTTTTTGTTTTTAAGTAAATATTTGGGGAGGGATCTACTAATAATAATAATAATATTTCTTTGAATTTATTTTTTATTTCAAATCTAATATTAAACAGAAATTAACAGTTTATTAACTATCAACAATAATATCTTTCTTATCATTTCAGGGATTTCAAAAATATATTTTTTTTATATTCTCTCCTTTCTCTAATTAAAAAATTCTCTAATAATTATTCGAATTTTAGCCTTAATTAATTTTTATTATATTTACATAAATATATTTATTTTCATTCTGCCATTCACTATAATTTATTATTTCTGTTGAATTTTAATGGACTCGTACCAACAATACTAAATAACACTCCATTATTATCCAAATTCCAAGGTCAAAAACAATATATATATATTTATTTACATATTTGGAATATATTTTTAAACAATAAAATTGTAAAAAAATTAATTACATTTTTGGGACCCCTAATTGACAAAAAATTGTTTTTTCAAATAGTCAAATCCTAATTTGTCAAATCGGTATTGAAATTTTTCTAAAATTAAAACAAAACTTTAATGAATATGTAGATTTTCCTAAGTCCCTTTAAAATATATAAATTTAATTAAATTATTTGCATAAATAATTATTTGTTTTTATATTTTCTTAAAAATAAAATTAATTATATACACACTTTTATTAAATTTAATTCTTTTATTTCTGGCGAGGAATGCCAAATCCTTTATTTTCTATTATTCTCTCCCCCTCCCTCAAGAAAGCATTAACCTCCTCTAAATCCCCAAAATCCTCATTCATTAAAAATAATCTTCTCCCCTCACTCCCCTCCTTCTTTTCTGACTTGTTGCCCTTCCAAAAAAGCTAAACAACATTCTCTTTCCCCCAATTTTTGACTGTTTTAATTGTCCTTCCATTCATTGTCATTATTTTCCCCATAATTTTCTTCACACCCTTGATAACCACCTAAAATTCATTCATTACATAAATATATTTATATCGAGTGTCTGGCCACCAAAAACAACCAAACAATAGGATTTTTTTGGTTATTTTGACCGAGCATTTCTCCTTCTCCTTTATTAATTCCCTAAATTAATATGTAAATTTTTAATGCCTATTTTACTAAAAATAATTATTTTTCATTAAATTTTAATATTAATTTTTAATTTTTTTATACAAAAAATGTTAATTCTTGTAGTCTATATGGACATCTTTTTGCATTTTGAGATAATTTTTGCTCAAATACTGTTAAATCTTTTTAAAGAAGATTCTTCCTATTGTTTAGGAAGGAATACCCAAAAATGTTTTTTTCTCTAGTGCTTGGACATTCGCACAAAATTTCGAACAGTGGTAGTATGAAGTGCGAGTACGGGACAGTTCTTCTCTTCCATACATTTTAACTTCCCTGAACTTTTCGGATGTCGAAGAATAAACTAAATTCTTAGGAGGAACGATTACTATCAAAAAAATATATTTTTTAAGTTTTAATACTAATTTTTGATGCTCTTGTTTACAATTTAATTCCCTACCGCGCATTTCTGATTACTATATTTATTAATGTGTTATTAATAAATTATTTAAAAATTAAATAAACAGATTTTTCTCATTTAATATATTCTAATCTTTTTTCACGTATTAATCAACAAAATAAATAGTAAAATAAAAAAATCTTTCTCTCTTCTCTTTTTTAAAGCTTTGAATTATTTTCATTATTCATTCAACCTCATATATTTATTGTCAGCATGAGACAAATCAAATTATTTTAATTCATCATTAAATAAATCCCTTTCATTAAATCTCCAATTTCATCAACTCTATTCATTTTCTAAATTTACGCGCACACATTAATGTGATTAAGTGACTGGAGAGATGATGACTACCCTCCTCCCTATTATTAATAAAAACTTTTTTAATTTCAATTTCAATTTATTACGTCATGTTTGACGCGCGATCAAAAAAAAAAAATACAGAATATGTGGTCAATAATATATAAATTATAATACAAATGATCTGATATAAATAAATAGTTCAACTATTCTTTAATTAAGTTTTAAGGGAGGTTATGTGTGAAAACAAATCAAAATTATCCAATAGTTTTTTAAAATTAATGGGAGTATTTTTGCGTATTTCTATCGGTAATGTAGAGTAAAGTCTAGCGGTTCTGATAAAAAAGGAGTTACCGTATTTCCTATATTAGAGCCCCACCCTCTGTTAGAGCCCCACCCTCTAATACAGCCCCACTTTGGAGGATAGTTGAAAAATAGAGCCCCACCCTCAATTAGAGCCCCACCCCAAATACAGCCCCACCTAAAAATATTGGAGGAAAAAATATTAGAATAACTTTTAAGATGTATGTATTAAGAGAGTTAAGGAAATAAAGGGGGATATCTATGATTTCGTGATCATTGAGGAGGAGGGATCATGGGGATTAGGGATGAAAATGAGGGATTAATCCCGTTATCCGTCAAAATACTCTAATATCGCCTATATTCCTCTAAATTCCTCCTACATATTACCTCCAAAATCTAATCATTTTATAAAGGGTTGCAATCGTGTTAGGCACTTGATGATAATTCGCGAGATTATTAGAGATCTATTAGATATCTAATCAGTGATATCTAACCAAAATTTCTCTGGAACCGATTTCAGTTACGTAACTGCTATTTGAATTTCTTCAGTTCCAGTTCTGGAACCTGTTCCAAAGCTTTATCAAACAAATCCCTTCATATGCCTCCTAATACCCCTAGTCCAGAATATCCCTCATAATCCCTCTAAATCTCTCAATATAAACTTAATCCTCTGATATTCCCCATAATCCCTTAAAATCCATTTTTATCCCTCTAATCCATCAATGTCAAATAAAAGTCCCATAATATTTCCTTTAATCCGTCCAAATCTACCCATATTTAATAATTAATCTTACTCTCATTGAACTATTGGGACTATTTTGTAATTCATTGCTTAAAAAGTTTTGGTTTTTCTTGAAAAATCGAAAAATATAGATTCTCTTTCGATATTTTGCGGCTTTATCGACCAAACCCTCCGACTTATCTCTAGTTGCAATGGATATAATAAATGGGATTCTATCTCAAAAGAGGGTTGAAAAATAGAGCCCCACCCTCAATTAGAGCCCCACCCTTTAATACAGCCCCACCTTGGAGGATAGTTGAAAAATAGAGCCCCATGGGGCTCTAATATAGGAAATACGGTATATCTAATTGTGGTTGCGCAAGCTTGTGTTTTTAATTTAAATTCTTCCCCACGTGTTTTAGTGTTGATGAAATAGAAAGATGAATTATGTTCTACTTTTATATTTCCCCAAATAATTTTATGAAAGAGAATTAGATCAATTTTATATCTCCTAATTTCTAAGGTTTCGACTTTAAAAATTTTCAGTAGGTTAGAGTATTTTGGAATATTAGAGAAATTAAATCCTTTTGACTGCCCATGCTTCCTTGCATAAATAGACCTGAGGAAGTATTTTTGTATTTTTTCTATGTTAATTATATCTTTTTTTAAGTGTGGGTTCCAGATTGGTGAGGCAAATTCTAAACCGGTTCTTATATAGGTATTAAACATGTGTATAAGTATATTGTGATCTTTAGATTTGATAGAGTGAAGTAGATTGTACATGGTCCTTCGTGCTTTAGATGTGATAATTTGAGTGTGCTCCGAAAATTTAAAATCAGATGAAAAATATACTCCTAAGTCTCGAATAATGTTACATGATGAGTCTATGTATTTGTCGCCAATTTTATAGGGGTTTCTTTTGTTGTTTTTTCCAAGATAGAGTGTATGACATTTGTTTATCTCATTTAATATATTCTAATCTTTTTTCACGTATTAATCAACAAAATAAATAGTAAAATAAAAAAATCTTTCTCTCTTCTCTTTTTTAAAGCTTTGAATTATTTTCATTATTCATTCAACCTCATATATTTATTGTCAGCATGAGACAAATCAAATTATTTTAATTCATCATTAAATAAATCCCTTTCATTAAATCTCCAATTTCATCAACTCTATTCATTTTCTAAATTTACGCGCACACATTAATGTGATTAAGTGACTGGAGAGATGATGACTACCCTCCTCCCTATTATTAATAAAAACTTTTTTAATGTACTATTTCAACCATTATTTCCCAATTCGACAATTTAATAAAAATATAAAAATAATTATTTAAATTATTTTAATCATTCAGACATAATTTTATATCTCTAAACTATTATAAAGATATAAAGAATTGTATTATAAAGAATTGTCAAAATTTTACGACAAATCATTTCTCAAGTCCAGTGATTGATCTGTAATTTTAATTTACGGATCCTCCACAAGTAATTTGAATGATCTAATAAGGATCTCGATACTTGATTTAAAAATTTAAGTACTAGCCATTTTCTTTCTCCCGAATTTTCTTCTTTCATTTTCCTTTCCCCTGGTGAATCTTGAAATAAAATTCCGTGACTCGTCTTGTTAAATCAATTTGATCGTCTTACACCTATATCTATTGGCCATTTTAATTCTTTTGATATTACCAAAAATTTAATTATCAAATACTAAATGTGTTTGGAAAGACAACTTTTTTATGCCATTTTCCCTTATGACACCAACCGTAATTTTTCTT